CCCCCTCTAAAAAAAATTCCATAAATTAAAAAATCCAGCATTTTTTCCCAACAATTCATACATTAGTTGGTGTTTAGGTTGCATTAAAATGTGTCCTGAGTGAGTTTTTTTTCTTTTATCTTTTTTGTTGTTTTTTTTATCCATTAATGGCCCAGCCCTAGCTGCTAGTTATTAGCTTAGCCATTTGATTGTATGCATTTAGGGCAGGGGACATTTCTAAAAGTTTGAGGACACCCGCCCTCCAAGATTTAAGTTTGAGACCACTGATCCCAGCTGATTGGTTATCAGATTTAAATGAGACGTGCGTCTCTGTTTGCTTTATTCTTATCTCCGTTATTCTTCCAAGAAGGAGGAAGTTTTGGTTCATAATTTCTTTTCTTGGTTTCATGTATTCCACTAAAATTAGGAAAATCATTAAAATGGCTCCGTAACATTTATTATAGAGGAATGGTCAGTAAGTGTAACCATGGTTACTCGTTTGATGTCGACCCGGTGACATATCAAGATGAAGATCTTTATGATGTTACCGTGTTTCTCCTCTTTGCACAGGGACCAGGGTTGTTCTGACCAGACCACCACTGATCTGCTCAAGTCCGGCCGTAAGTTGTGCTGGTCCAGAGAAGCCCAGTACCTGTACCTCCGCCGCTTGTCTTCCAGAAGTTTCTCAGCCATCACCATGGTAAGATGCACTTCTGCTGTTAAATATTGATGCTGCTGGACTGTATGGATGGAGCGTCGTGTCTTTTTATGGGTTACATGTTAACATGGACCAGAGCTTCGGATCAGGAAGCTATTAATACCATACAGTTGATAAAAGATTTATTTTTAGGGATCGAAAGGGGGTGAGTATGAAGGATCTTTTCACGCATCCTTGGTTATCATAGCATTTTTTACAACAATTCTTACATTAGTAGGTGTTTAGGTGGCATTAAAATGTGTCCTCAGTGAGTTTTTTTTCATCTTTTTTTTGTGTATTTCTTTAATTTTGTTTCTTCTTCACTCTTGATAAAACCAGAGTTTTTTCCTCTTAATGCAAACTGAAAAAAGCAAGGTTGCTGCTGTAACTTTGGTTTGATATTTCAGGAAGAAATAAACATTTAAAGCAGTTTGTTGATCTAACACGCATTAAATATGGGGAGAAGAAAAGAGCTTAGGCTGATCTGACTGAGACCTTTCTCATACCTCACTGAATTTAAAGTTAAAACAGTTTTTTTTTCTTACTAGAACTGGACAATCTGTTGCATTTTAACAAAACAATATTTTCGCATCAGGAGGCACTTAATTTAACAAGAGGATGATGTGGTTTTTCTCAATCTGGCATTTTAGATTGCACTTATGTACTTAACCCTTTAAATCCAAGAATAAAACAAAACAGAAAATTGCTTTTTTGGCCTTTAAAACAAAATGTATAAAAAGAAAAAACAGAAATACATTTTTGATATTAATGATTTATTACTATGCGATAAGTCAAGATTATTTTTTGTGTAGTCTTTTACTGGCTGTTATCAGGTATATCTGATTGTGTACAATAGGATTTTGAGCAAAGTTTTTACCATTAAATTATGCAAAATGTGTCAGACGCAAAAGATTTCAGAAACCGTATGTATCAAATACGATACATTTGGCATTATAGGGTTAAAGACAGTTTTCTGCCATAAAAATAGGAAGAGAGCTGCAGTTAGTGAGCAGATCCAAGAAGGAGAGTAGAGGCACTTTTCCACACAGCAGTAACAGGAAAGTCCTGCTGCATTGAACTCAGAAAACAAGAAAGCTTTCAAGGTCCCGAAAACCATAAAAATCTACATGCTGCTGGTTTGAGCAGAAGATCAAAATAAAATCGCTACTTCAATAAATGCTTTAAAAAAAATCACAAATTCTAGTTTTTAATTAGCAAACAAGAGTTTTAAGAATGATTTATTGATTTTATAGAATTTTCTGTTTTATAAGGATTTAAATATTTTTGAAAAATCTGAATTTGTCCTTCCTGGACTTCCATAATTCAGAGTATCATCAGATGGTCGTTTTGTTTTTATTACTGTCACTAGCCAATCCGTACTGGTAGCACGATCCGCACCATCAGCTCAACTAGAAATACATCCAGGTCGCCCTCGATTGTTCCATTGAAAAAATAGTGAAATACATTTTTTTTCTCTACCTAAAAATGAGCATATTAAACTACAATGTGTAAAAGGTCAATTTTATGAGAAAATATATGCGTTTAAATCCTTTTGCAATATCATCCATCTGTAAACCAGCAGCTCACTTTTTCAGCTTTGGATTTATAATTAAATCAAATCTTTTTGACTCAATTTTGTTTTTCTTTTACCTTTAGAGTATATAGTGAATAATCTAAGCTACTAAAATACAGATAAACGGGATTTAACCAGATTTAGACGCACTGCTCTGAGCACATCCAATGATGACCTCTGACAAGCTATTTAATGTAAAAAGCTTCTAATTGTCAGAAAAATAGTTACAAATTTTCTATAAAATGTATTTTAGCGTTTTCTGGTGATTTAAGGACAGAATTCAATATTTCTTCTACCATAGTTACAGTATTTATTGCAACCTGGATGAATATCTGCTTGCACATGAGCAAATGACTTAATTGTACGGATCTTGCTTCTGGTACAGATCAGTTAGTGACAATTAGATGTAGACTCAAAATGATAAACCAGCTCACAGCCTGCAACCTCTAGCTGGTTGTGTTTGCAGCTGCAGGGCCTGCAGATGTGTTTTCCCAGACTGTATCACAGCTTGGATTCATTTGGACTTTAAATTCAGGTCAACAAAAACTGAAGCAGTGAAAAAAAGCTAAAAAAAATGGATGAATTTGATGTTGCATGTAAATAAAAATGTATATTTTAAACCACATTGAGCAGCTCTGTTTTCTGCTATTTATGTACGTAACACCGGCAGCATAGAAGCAAAGTCTGCCTTTTTTTGGAGAAGTGCGCTGGCATGCTAAGTTTCAAAGAATAATACTTTTAGTCTCTTTTCGCAGTGAGTTCAGGATTAAAATTTTATGTAGATGTGTGAACAGAAAAGGAAAATAATCTGTTAGTTTAAATGAAACGCCGTCTTTGTTTACAGGCCCTGAGATTCTTAAGCTACAGTTTAAAATGTTCCCCCATGTGTGTCGTAAAGACTTTTAAAGCGTTTTATGATGCAGTGACCACAGCGAGTGAAATCCCAGCCAACCGCTATCCAAACACAGCTGAAGAGTGCAGATGCAAATGGCTGATTTTTAAAGTGTTTCCCTCTGTGTGTGGCCCACAATAAATATTCAAATTGTTTATTTCCCTGCCGATTCTTTTAAGTGTAACTTGTATATAAATGTCTCATGTTTTTATTCTGTAAATATGGATGATTAATGCTCAAAGTTAACGAAAACCAGAAATCTAGCAACACTAAATGTTTAGCCACTAGGGGGCGCTAGACCTATGACTTCCAGTGTATTGGAATTTGCTAGCAGACCACTTTGGACTGCAGCATGGAGAAGCCGTTTCTCAATTCACTAGAAGGCAAGTATGGACTTGTCCTTGGCAAGTATGTTCTTGAGAAGAACAAAGGAAAGTGTGGACTCTGGGAGAACGGGAGCAGGCAGCATAAATATGGGTCAATTGGAACAGAAGCGTACTGATGACGTCACCGCATGCCCGGCTAGTCTAGAGCTACAGTTCACCTCTTGTTGTTAATAGTCTCTAGATACTAGGGATGGAACGGTTTATGAAAACCGTCCGAACCGTTCGGTTCGACTGTCTCGGTTCCGTTCGCGTGTGTTGCGTTCGGTTCATGCGCTGCTCCTTGTTCTCATAGGCGAAGCGTATACACTCCAGAGCAGAAGGTGGCGGTACTGCGACCAAAGCCAATCACCAGTAGTAAACGAGAAGAAGAAGAAGCGAAGCAGCGTAGCCGGGTGTAGCAGAAAAAAATCAGTTGTTGTGGAGAATTGTGTGGGTATGGCGAGTGGGAAAGAACAGGAGTTGGAAGACGCGCCAGCAGCACTTTATAGGTCTGCTATATGGGAGCGCTTTGCATTTAGAGTGACCTACGATGACGGCGGAAAGAAAGTTGTGGATAAAAGTGCAACAGTGTGCAAGCATTGTGCAACACGTGTTGTTTATGCTAACAGCAACATGACCAACATGTCACGCAAAGCATACAGCCTCCACTGTGGCTCCCGTCCGCTCCCCTCTGAGTTCCTTGGAGATGGAATTTTTTTGGATTTTTTCATTAATTTTTATTTTTTCATTAATTTTTATAATTTTTTTTTATTTTTCGGTGTAACAATAAACATATACCGAACCGAAAACCGTGACCACAAAACCGTGAACCGAACCGAACCATGGATTTTGTGAACCGTTCCACCCCTACTAGATACTAATAAAAAATTCTGACTTTTTTTCATTTAGTGGGGAATTAATAATTAACAGTCAGATAAACAAAAATCAAATGAACATTTTGCCAAATAAAACAAAAATGGCCATCATTGCCAGTGGACCTTTACATGCAGCTATGCCGCGAGTGGGCTGCTATAGACGGGCTGCGGTTATCCCTGGTTGCCGTTTCCCTCGGAGCTCCGCTGGTTGCCGCGGTCCTCTCAACTTCGGGAAAAAAAAGTTTAATTGCGCATTAAATCGGCAAATGGACCATATAGTGACGGTTAAAAGTATAATGTTCTCGCCTCAAATTATTTTAAAACTTACTTTTATTGAAACACAGCAACAGAAAAGATAACTTTTAAATTAATAGTCTGAACTCTATGGCTACGTTCACACTGCCGCATGAAGTGACCCAAATACAATTTTTTTTTTTTTTGCCCATATGCGTCCTGTATCTTATCTTTTCATGGCCGTCTGAACAACACACATCCGATTTTTTTCCAATGTGATCCAGGCCACTAGGCTCTATGGTCCTGAATCGGATACGAATCCGATCTTTTCAAATGTGATGTGTGTCTGAACGGCCAGGTCGCATTCATCCGACCTGAACGCCATTAATACCCGAAAAAGGTCACTATTCTGGGTCTTGCTATGCAGAAGCGGCAAGACAAACAACAGCCATGGCGGATGATGATGCGGAGAGCAGTATTTATGTTTAACCATCTTGAAAAGATTGAGTTTTTATGGTTGGGAAAGATCGCTAGATGCGCTCCAGCGCTACCCTCCATGTTTACTTCCATAAACACAGAGCACGCTGGCCTGTGATGTCATTTCATGCTCTACTGCGCATGCGGGACACTTGCGTTGTATGACTGCAGTGGATAAAAGTGCAACAGTGTGCAAGCATTGTGCAACACGTTTTATTTATGCTAACAGCAACACGACCAACATGTCAGGCTAACAATCAACATTTACCAAACCGAACCGAAAACCGTGACCACGAAACCGTGAACCGAACTGAACCGTGGATTTTGTGAACTGTTCCATCCCTAGTCCGATTGCTCTATCTAAGCATATAATGGAAAATTAAGTGTAAGGAAAAACTCAGCTAAAAAAATGCACACATGACAGAGAATAGTGTAACTTCTAAGATAAAGTTCTCCCCGGGCGTTCTTATATCTGCACGACAAGTGTCTGCTCTGAGCCGTTTTCTAATGCAGTTTTTCCTTCCTCTGAACTTTTCATTTATAATCTGGGATATATTAATCTGGGATAAACCAGAGTCATTTATCCT